TATCATAGCTCATTTGAGTGGCTTGTCGTGACTCGAGACTGGATGACTCATCGTCTCGTGATGGCTTGATTATGACTCTTTTTGTACAGCAATGAAGAATCTTGACCAACCAATTGTTCACCAATCGCAAGGCTCAGATAACACTCCACTTTAAACATAATGTTTTTTGAGTTCCGGATCATCCAAAGCCGAAAAAGAAAACAGCGAACATAAAGTTAATGGGGAATCCAAAAAAAATATACTCTGAAATCAAAACGGAGCACTTTGGCCTTCAGGGCTAAAATACTTTCAAGGCAACCGCAAGAGTAAGAATACATCTCATGGCCTACACCAACAGCTGCTCATTGATCTCGGTGCCAGAATCACCGAGCCCTCGCTGTCTCAAGGAGGCGACGTGACCCTGACCCAGGCCATCTCTACCCTCCACATCTACCGCGCCCTCTCCCAGCCCGCATACATGCTGGCCACCCAGACGACATCTTCGGCCACGCCTTCCAGATGAGCGCCAAATTGAAGACGCTTAGCAAGACGTGGGAGGACTTCGGGGCCGAGTACGAGCAGATGGCCCGCAGCGTGGAGGTCTTTGCTGGGGAGCTACTGGGGAGTCTAGCTCTACTGAAGAGGTGAGTTGCCGGATTTTATTGGCCATTTGGCTTTTAAATTGAGATGAGTTAGCTGTACACCAATTGTGACTATGGTTATAAAAAAGAGAGAGGGGCTTCTTAGAGAAGCCAGGGTGCAAGCTCGGCGTTTCTGTCGCCATTCTGCGACTATCATGAGAGCTCATCTCCTGATGACAGTCAAAGCAATCTGTCCGGGGACTTTTAGAGTGTACTAGAGATCTTTACATCATCTATACATCTCAGTTGTCAAATCAATCAGATTATCCGAGGTCAATGAACAGTGAATGGAACGAACAATTGCAATAACAGTGCCTTTAGCAATGACGTCATTTGAATAGTTTGCCTTTTGTCTTGATATCAAATACCTTGTGATTGCCTTATGATGATTGTGATGACATCCGATGAGTGATGTTTTGTGATAAAACTGGTTGGCTTCAAGCCTTCGTTCAATACGTTCTCATTGTGCCTTCTCATCAGATCCTGGCCCTGTTCCGATACCACAACACAGACAAGTACCGTGACGTGGAAGGCAAGCAACATCCATTGGCTAAACTATTTGAAGCCATCAAACACCAGCAGAAAGAGGTCGGATGTCTTTCATTGTTTTGTCTTTGCCTGACTAGTTTTGATGAATAATTGTTGAATACCACACACAAATGATGAGTTCCAGCATGCCAGAAGGAATAAGTTCACAGGGAGTTTAGTGCCACTACTATCTTTAAACCAATACTCTTTGGCCAGTTGCTTTTTGAATAGATGCAAATGATCTACTCTACCTTTAAACTTAAATAAAAACTTTGCGGACAAATTCTTCTCGGGAATGTAATCACATAACCAGCACACAATAACACTGGCAGAATCTGAACTCGCTGTCGGCAACGTGTAGAATATAGGGCTCCTTTCTGGCTTGGTTTCAATATCATGTAGCTTCAATCAGCACCCAAAATTTGGTGTCCTTCTTGTCTATCTTCAGTTCATAGCTCACCCTCATTCCCAGAAGGCAATCATAGTGCAGTTCTACAGGAATCTCCTGGACTGGAACGAGCGAGGTTTGCTCTACCAGGTCCTCCTCATCCTCTTCGTCTTGCTGGGCTACCCCATCATCTGCCTCCTCTACATTTTCGTGCCCACGCGGCGAGTGGTCCAATTCGCGCGGCTCCCGTGAGTATATGGATATTCTTATAGGTACAATTCACTTAATATATCTCCCTGTAAAATATCCGGATAGCTTGTCGGCCATTCTGAGCTGTGCAAAAGGTGAAGCCACACACTGGTTCCCGATCCCTCCATTCAAATGTGGAGAGGGAACCAGCCTCAACCACTCCCATTGTTCAAAAAAAGTTAAAATTGGGTCGTCTAAAAGTATTTAAAACTGCATTTTTTTTCTAAACAGAAAGTTTTTTTTTTTTTTATTGCCCTTTAAATTATTTTGAAAAAAAAATCGTTGAGCAAAACGTGTTCATGTTAATGAAATTACAATGATTTTTTTGGCAAATCTATTTTTTCTTGGGGTATTAATATGGCGGACGGTGACTTCACTTCAAACAGCCGATGGGCTATCCAGATTTTTACAATCTCGTTCCTTGACCCACAAAGGTCCATATCAAGGCTCAGGTATTTCCAAGGCACAAAACAGGTTACAAGCCAAATGATCATACAGAAAACTTGTGACTGATCTTAGAAATATTAGCTAAGCTTATAACAGGGATGTAATCGACTCGTCACCTGCAAGTCCATCACAAGTCCCCCAGTCCAATGTCAAGTCACAAGCTATTCAAATGAACAAAGGCTATTGTTCTTCCATTGATTCTTGCGACTGGACTTGTGACTGGACTCGTGAATTACTTGTGAATGGACTTGTGATGGACTCGATTACTCGGGATACTCTGGCATATAATTTGACAAGGCAATTATTTTCATGCTCAGGTTGGCGTAGTGGTACTTCCCTCGCCTTTCACCGCTGTGACCCAGGTTCGAGTCCCGCCCGGGACAATATGGATTGGGTTTTCAGTCCGTGCCTGATTCCGTGGGTTTTCCTCAGAATAATCCTCTGGGTTTTTCTCCAACCTCTAAAACTGTAATTTCTTTTCATTGACTTCTCTCAAAAGGATTCTTCAGGCTTTCGAGCTACAAGTGCTTAGGGTACTTTTAAGGAATCGTTGGTTTCATTACCAGAATTAAATAAATAATAATAATGATAATAATAATGCTAGTAAATAGTAAGAGCTTCGTGACATTTTCATTTCCAGTTACGTCATGATGATGATGAAGGCGGGATCTGGCTTCACGTTTTTACTCTTCATCGTCATAGGTACCGTCGCCGATAAGCACACCCACCCTCGCACTGTGGAGCTACTTCACAACTTCATGTTGGTGTGGGTCATAGGTGAGTGGTAAAAGAGAAACCCAGCGCCACATGCACAGTGACTACTGCATTTCGTTGAGTTTGTGTAATTTCCTCACGGGTTACAAAAGTATATTATGAGAGATATCTCACGTGGTCACTTTCCATAGTAACACCTACATTTTTTGTTTGGCTGCACCCGAAGGGCCAGCCTTTGTCTTCTAAATGACTGAGTCACAGACTGACTGACTGACTGACACATTATGTCCTAACCTGCATGAAACTTTCAGGTCCAGTTTGACTGGGTGAGTTTAGTCTTTTAGCCCTGCTTGCATTGTCAAAACAATAACATTACTTGATGACCTCTACATTTGGCTTTTAGGTTTAGCCTGGTTACACATCAAGATGATAGCGAAGTATGGATGTGGCCATTACGTCGGTGACAGCGTAAATCTACACGAACTGGCAATCATGGTGCTATACTTTACTGTCTTTATCCTCCAGCTCAGCGGGGGCGGTGAGGTAAGTTCGCAGATTGTCAAACACATTGGGAATGTGTTGGAGCGCCACCTTGTGGTTCGCAAAAAAAAGTTAATCTCTCTTTTCCAGCCATGGGCGTCGCAAGAAGGGTGTTTTTTTCTGCGGGCAAAATCATTTACCTGGCAACAGAATTGTGTGTTTCTCAGCCACTAAGAATGGCGCCACCTATTGACCGATAAAATCCGGTCTCGTCTGCTTTCAACAGCGGCCAAATTGGGCAAAAGTATTCTGCCCCTGCCTGAAGTTGAATAATAAAGAAATCTGAAAAATGAGGATTTTATTCTTGCAGGCCCCTGATGACAATCCAATGCCTCGCTCTGTACGAGATACATTTAGCAACCAAGACCTGCATGATCTGCAGGATCACGTGACATCAGCTGTGAACAAGCTCAGAGGAAAGCTGAATGACTCGTTAGTCAGAGGCGTAGATGGGATCCTGTTAAAGGCGTTGTCTGGCTGCCGACCCCGAGGCCCTACCGAGACCGCCTTGAGTAGCCCGTCAATGGACGTGGGGTCCTCGTTTCAAGACCATTTGCACGAACTCGAAGAAACCATTGGGCTGAGTCCGTTCGATCCCAGCATTGTTGCTGGTGCTTTGTTCGGAGTGACCATCACTGTTGCAGTCCTGTGCATGCTGAACCTTCTTCTCGTTAGTAACTTCGTGGGCCCGCTTCGCATCTCTCTAGGTAACATGACAGGGGACATCATCAAGTTTTGTGGCATCTTCCTGATTATTTGGATTGCCTTTGCCATCGGTTTGTTCCAGAACTTCTACTCAGCAGGTCAGTCAGCTACAAGATCCTGCATCG